TTACCATCTCAGCAAGTTTCCAAATCTTCACTGGCTTCACACAGAGTTACAGCATACAGTGCAAGTTGCTTGTTCTGAAATGAAACATAAATGCTGTTCTGCAGGCTAATACAAAAATGCTAAAGCCCATCCAGCCTTAAACAGAATTACACTCACAGAAAGCTGCACTTTACTAAACTTAATCTCATGGACTAGGAAAAATTATAAGCCTTTGAATTCCAGTAACATGAACTCTTTAACCGTCTCCCATAAAAAAATACCCTGACTTGTTTTTAACTGCATTTTCTGGTTCCTCTTTGACAGGTTCCCATATTATACTTACATGGAGTCATACCATCTGTATGATAATTATGCATGTCCTCAAACTCAGAAGGGAGTCTCCAAAACACTTAGATCTAAATGCAGATCTTCTTATCCTGCCCATAGTTGCATTGAGACAGGACATACTTTTCTTTTCCTCTAAAACTCTACACATACCATAGATGGTTGTTCTGTACTACTATCACAGTATTCAAAACAAAACAGAAGCAGATCAATATCACCACTGTAAATCTCAGTTCTTTCCAGCTGAAAGGAGTCAGTCATATACTTGATCTACCAAGACACGAGTCACCTAGATTTGCAAGTTTCTCATCTTATGACCGTGCCAATGATTAAAATGTCTGAAATAGGGGGGTGGGGTTGACAGAAACAATTTATTCTTCCTCTCTGCAAAGCACAAACATCATTTTCTACCAATAAAAGTATTGCAAACTGTAACCTTGTTTACATTTCTTATAGTGAGATAACACAATACTGAACATGCTGCTCTGAAAATAATTTTCATGCCAATTAAGTCATGGAGATTTCTAGGTAAGAGTTTTGTTTACGATGGGACCTGGGCCATTCTTCAGCCTTTGTGAAGCAGCAGTTGCATGACAGTTAATTTTAGGTCAGAATCAACAAACATTACTGAACTACCTAAAAGTGATTAGTTACGTAAGACCTGGGACCTGAGGCCACCGAGCGCCAGAGACCATCCACCTGTATTTGTATCTTAGACAAGAAGGTGTGGCTTGGCTACAGATCAGATTCCTGTTAAAGTTGAGTTAACTTCCAGGACAAAAGGTGAACGTAAGTAAGAGCAAGATACTGGTTCATGAAGAGCACTGCCTCCTTACTAACCTTCTATGAGACCTGCAGAAGAAGGTAGCAGAGGCAATAAGGAAAATTAGTGTCATGACTTGCAGGTACTTCTGACAACGCCTCCACAACACCTCTGCTCTGAAGAAGAGTTGAGGTGAAGTCTAGTTAGTACTGGCAGTAGCGATTTGGCTACGATGATGTTCAAAGCTGGAAGAAATGACAGGGCTAGGGCTAAGATGGTAGTTCAGCCCAGAAAACATCAGCAAATAATAAAACTGGCTATCAAAGCATTATGGAGCTACACTTACATCTAGAATTAGAAGAGGGTGTTGACCTAGAACAAAGTATAATACTGGATCTGGGTTTAGGGTGGGACTCAGGCCAGCAGATATTGATAAACTGCAGCATAGAAAGTGCCTCCAGGTTAATATGAAAAGTAGTGTTCGCTTAAAACATCTGACTGCAGAGATCTGTGTGATAAGCAGTGAGATAAGATTAGGAGTGGAATTAGGGTTTGAGCATACTCTGGAAGAGACTGATAAACTGCATCATCTTGTTTCACTATCAGGGAGGGCCCCACGCCATGATAAAGGTGCCACATGACAGGACTTCACACACCCTTAGCAAGCCCAACACTGCCCAGCATGCCAGGCCTTCTCTGTCTATATCTTCTGTTGACCGAGGCTTCCGAAGCTGCACATGCACATGTGCTGTCAACATGACGCATTCCTGATCCCTCAGGATTACTGTATATGTATACTTGTGTCACTGTGTACATGCACAGAGAACCTGGCACTCCCAAGATGTACAGATTTCCTATACGATGTATACACACAGGGGATCGGGCAGGGAAGAGGAAACAAACAGGGAAAAGCATCTGTCTGAAAACCTCCCATCTTTACTGTCTCCATTTCTCCCTTCACTTGCAGTAGGGCTGCCATATCAGAAATACATCAAAGACTAAAAGCGTCTGGCAGCCAATGTCTCCTCTCTTCATAGATGCATTTTTAAAACCAGGAGGTCAGGTCTGGGCAGTCGGTTGGTCCTGCCAAGGAAATCAAAAGCTAAATCAGCCAAATATACCAAGAAGCAGCACAAAAGCTTGTCTGTGTCTTCTCCAAATAGGAGCTTTTCCAATGATGATCTTGGCAGTACCATTTAGCACTTACCCTTTTCCCAGTTCTCAGGAATAGGTGTCCAGCACATTGCTCAGCATTTTCCAGGTCAGGAGAGGATTCAGGAATGACCATGTCTGCTTCACAGCACAGAAAAACCTGACACATACCTAACCAATCTCTGTTTTAATCACAAAATAGGCTCACCCACGTTAGTGATTAATGGTGAAAAATTCAGTCTTACTGGCAGGCGGGCCTTGGACCAGACAATAACATTTTCTGCAGAAGCAAGAACCATATAATCACATTTCAAGGACAAAATCATGTCCAGACTGGAGACTACATAGTTTAAAACCCTAAAAATCAGTATTTGTAGCACACAGCTCATCTCTGCAATTTTCCAGACTTGTAATTTAGAGAATGCAGGGTAGGCAAGAATAACAGTTGCTCAATTCAATGAGCAAACCTGCTTCAGCATTCACTACAAACTGAGGAGGAAAAAGCTTCACAGTGAGTCTTGCCAAGAAGGAATTACAATAATTGAGCCTCATGGTCACAAGACCACACACTACTGTTGTGAAACAGTCACTGGGTAAATAAGGGTGTATCTTGTAACATTTTACCACTGCTGGGGGAAAAGAAACAGAAAAAGCCCCATGCAAAAGATGGTCTTACCCCTAAAAAGATATGAATGCAAGCAAAAAGGATCTTGCAAATCCACACTCATGTCAAAAATGCGGCAGAACAATGCTGCTATTCTAGTGCTGTCAATGCAGTAGCGACACAGAGTAGGGAATAAAAGCAATTTACACAGTTATGCCTGCAGCACATAATTTAGGCACAAGCAACAACAGCAAGAAAAGAGAATTCATTCCAAAGGATGGAGGAGTAAAAGTTAGGATGATGTAAAAATGACAGCTGAACTTCAGTTCACTAAGAAGAAGTCACAAAAGCAGTACATGTCCAGAATGATAAAAAATCCTTAGCAAAACATGATGAAAAAATAAAAAGTAAGTTGCTGATTTTAAAACATACAAACAGGCAGGTACCTCAGACTAGCAGAGAAATTCACAAAGCCAAATGAGAAGGATGGCATTTAACGACCTTAACAGTTGAAATCTGACCTAACATTTTTTTATCACGTTTGTATTTCAGGGATGTGTACCAGTGTACCTAAAGGAGCTCAGCAAAGTTTTTCAAACTTATCTTTTCTTGTTTGCAGAAATCAACAAAGAACTTGCAAAATAATCACTTCCACAAAGCCACTGCTCTCAGCTCTGCGTGTACAAAGGTCTCGTCTGCCTCTGCACTGAGTGAAACTTCCTCTTAGCAATCCAACTTTGATTGTCACACCAACCCACAGCATTTTACCAAACTGGGCTAGAAGAGGATGTATTCCATCAATCTTCACCATTTCTTCTACACTGTCTGGAGCAGTTTGCATGGGGGCTTAGCAGGGTGCTGCTGGCCCCTTCTAGAGAAGGTGACTGGGTGACAGGGAGCGGCAGAGGGAGGAGAGAGCAAAGCACCTGCGTGCAGCAAGGGCACAGACTCAGCAAGGCTGGGAGTGGCAGGGGCTTGAAGGGGAGAACACTTCAGCCAGCCAGGCCCTCCCCATCATAGGGGAGTGAAAAGCCATTTTATTAATTTCTCCCTCCAACCTCTGCTTCTCTGAAGGAGGGAGAAAAACAAAGGCATAGAGTGTTTAGCATTATTTCTGATGCAAGGAGGATGCAAAAGCATCTTAAACAAAAGTTACTCCTTCTCCAGTCTCCTAAGAGCTCCACTCTTTACTGTCAATCCATCAGAAGAGGAGGGTTTTAATGGGGTATTGTTTCAGTGTGCTTATGCATCTCATGGACTATCTGGGAGATTCTTCTAGTCTCAGCTTCCACCACTACACTCTTAATTTCTGTGGCACACACTAAGCTTCTGGTTCTTAGATACAACTAGCATTTATGAAGAAGCACTATAAAGGGTTCAATCCCTTGGTATAAATCAGCATAACATTTTCCTGTATTCAATTCTCAGATTACCTACAAGGTAAACCAGTTATAAATTTTTTTTTCAAAATCCCTGCTTACTAATAACTTTGTCCGTGCTAAGAGCTCATTGGGCTCTAAAACTTGCACAGAAGACTACTCTGTAGAAAACAGAGGGCTAATATTTTTAAATGATTATACACAGTAGCCCAGATAACATTAAAGAACCTGTTGCAATTAAAATTCATAAGCTATAGTTCCAAATCTCACAACTCAGGTAAAGAACTACAACCATAATGATTACCAATGAAATAATGTGCCCTGACTCACTCCATATAAATAGGCTATGCTTATAAAAGTACTCCTCTGCTTCTGCAGGGGAGGGTGGCAAGGGAAGAAACTGATAAGAAATAATTAAACTAATTATGTGCTAATGAAAAGGTGTATTAATTGAAACAGACCATGAAGTATCCAAGTGTACACAAAGAAATTCAACAGGTGTTTACACTGAAAGGCTGACTATCCAGTGCAGAGATGAAATCAGACTGTGATATTAATGGCACATCCAATGCTAAAGTTCATAATGGATTTTCTGTGGCTTACTGTCAGACATGAAGTACTACTGCATCTCATTTTCACAAGCAAACCTTACAGAGGGACCAGGAAAATCAGAAAATGATGCAGCCAGTATCACACTGGACAATAACATGGAATACTGACTTCTTTTTTCTTATTGACAAAACCAGTGAACTATCATATAAACTGCCCATTACTGTACCTTCATGACATCTTTATAGGAATGAATGGCCTCAACTTCCTCTTTGTCGTCCTCATTGTCATCCTCCACTCCTTCATCCAGAGCATCATATCCTTCATCCCTACTCCCATCTGTTTCTGTAGTATTAGTCATGTAGTCAATAAGCTGCTCCAGTGGAGGACTTAATTCCCGCTCTTCATTGTCCTTCAAACCATAGTCAAGGGCTTTATATATAATAATCCCTAGTGATTCAATAACCTATAAAAGCAAAAAAAAGAAATATTTATTAGTACCATTTACATGGACAAATAGGTCAGTCTATGAACACACTTTTCTGGTGTTTGCATAACAAACTCAGCAATTGAGAGGGCAATAAACATCAAAATCAAAGAAAAAAATTACCTAATAAAATTACTCTAATACCTACAGCAGCACTTTAGTAATACAGCACAGACTATGCAAGAGCAGGTCATACCACATACCTACCACTTTCTTTTTTTAATGTTTGAAACAAAAAGTCATAATTTAAAAACAAAGCAGGACCTTTTTAGATTATTTTCCTTTTTTTCTTCTAATATGACAAACCTCAAAGTAACATTACTCTACACTTTGTAAGACTATATTGCATGCATAATACCTTTTTTTTGTGGGGTAGGTGGGAAGAAATTAAAAGAAAGAATAAACTAACACGAGATGCCTCCCTCCTCCACTACTTGATGACACTTGGAAACTGCCCTTCAGTTTCTGCATCTCTTTACTGACCTGAGAGGTGTCTGGACACAGCTGTGGCCATCCCAATATTAACTCTATGAGCATTGGGACATCAGCCATAAGAACTCCTTTGTCTGTTGCACAACTGGTGGAGACATGCATATTCCACTGAAACTACCAACAACTGTATTCCCTAGTAATGAGGTAGTACCTCAATTTTTCATTGAATCAAGGCTCCTTATTTGTGCTCTGTCAAGAGCAAAGCCAACCAATGACCTCTTACTCATAGTAAGCTAGCAAAAAATTGTCAGGAATATCCCAAAATGCTAAATGCACATATTTCTCTCTTAGCATTAATTATTTTCCTTATGAGCAATATTGAAGCTTCTAGAATTTTAAAGATGTAAAGAGATGGCATTTCAAACTGAGAAGTTTGAAAATGGGTATTAATGAAGAGGGAAGGGAAAATGGGATTGCAACAGTAAGCCACAAGAAGGTAATGTCACTGCTGGGAGATCCTTGTCTGACAACGGAAGTAGGACTGGAGTAATTGCATGTAAACTCTGATCTTCCTTGTGTGTTGTGATGGCTAGCATGTCACATTAATTAGCAGACTCCTACGTAGGAGTAGTTGGCACTACTAGTAGGGAGCGACTTTAATAATAAAAGCATTTCTAAACATACCAAACCTTGTCATCAAATGCCTTTTTCTCTCATCTGGCTTTCAGTACTATCCTGGTCAACATGCTTTTTACTGCAGATTCTGAAATTCTTTTGGGGTAAATAGGACAACATAAATGGATTCTTTAAATATTAAATTTTACACTAGCAGCTTACTTATTTCAGCACAGCAAAGTATTTTTGGGCTGAGAGGCTGGAGGTTAGCAAAGGATTTTTTCAGCTCAAAGAACAGCTTCTGACTTGGGAAATGCTAGTGAGACAGCAAAGTATACCAGGGAAGCATCACTGCATTCTTGCACAGTTCTCATACCCTTCCCCAGACTTCTGCCATGACCCACTTTGGAGACAGGACACTGCACCATACAGACCTTAAAACCAGCTGTAACAGATCAAACATGTTTGCAGTATATCTCGTATACTTCTTAGGGAAGCTATTTTGTAATCACTGTCTTGTAAAACTTGCATTGTTTTAAAAATAATCTGAAAATATGAAAGTTTCACAAAATAAAATCGATTCTACTGGTAGATGTGTACTCAGATGTATATGAGTACAATCCCAATATACACCCCTTCAGCAACTAAAAGAAGAATACTGAGTTGATTCCAATTTGAAGGACACCAAAATTAAAATGAAGTACAACTGAATAATCACCTTGATATTTTCAGCACCTGGGAGTAAGCACAACGTGAGTAATTTCTAACTTCAACAAAATATATATTTGAAAGAGCTTAGCATACATGAGGAGGACTGAAATGTCCAAATTAGATGCAAAGAAAATTATGTCTGGTGCCATGCAGTGATGGCTGCTGGATTTTGCCACCAACACTTCAAAAAAATAGAAGGGGGGTGGATAAAGAAAGTGCACTCTCTCTGCCTCCTTCTGTTTGGGAAGAGGATTAAGGCATTCAAAAGCACCGTGGTTAAAACTGGATGACAGCTGCTGCTTTCTTTGATGTATCAGCAGTGGAGCTTTTGCAGTTCAGTAATATGGTTTGTACATTTTTATGTACTATGAACAGATTTCATAATACATGCTAAACTCACACAACACAAAAGCCTGCAATGGCACCAATTCAGAGCTATAGTTCAGTCTCTCAACTCCTTATTTAGGACATGTGATCAAAACCATATTTCCTCAATGTCTGTCAGTATCACAGATTTTTCTTGCTGAAAGACAAAGCAGCAAACATATTAACTAAATAACTTTGCTTTGACTTGCATTAAAACTGCAAATATTCAGCGCTTTCAGTAATACTGGTTTCCCAAGGATCTTGTAAAACCACCCAATTGCCATATGAATATCAAACAAAAGTCACAGAATTGTCAGCACTTCTTCCCATGAACAAAACTACTAATGCAACTTTACATAAATAAAACTTTTACGTCTATATAACTAGAAGCATAATATACAAGTCAACTCATTGATGTTTACAAATGAGTGCTGTCACTTTGTCTGTAATAGAAATCAAATGCAAACAAAAAAAGGAAAAGCTTTTCACAGCTCAATGGATGAACTGATAAATAAGCAGGGTTTTTTGAGTTGCATAATCAGGGACACCGCTTCCATTTTTTTTTTTAGACCATCAATTATTTACAAAGAAATCACAGGTTCTAAACTGCACTGTTGGCTAATTTCACACAAAATAAAAACTTCTGGCACCTAACAAGTGACAAGTACCAGCACAGTTTTCAATTATATCTGAAAACAGAGCTATAGTAGAAAAAGCAAGAGTAAGAACGGACTTAGCAAAGCTTTTTTAAACCAGAGTTGTACATTGACTTACCAAAACAACTGTATGACACTGAAATAAGTATCAGCACTAATAATAAATTATGCTCCTCAATTCAGGTGAAAAAAAAATAAAGCAATATCTGCACCTTGAATTTTAGAACACATTTGTTCCTGACTGATTTAAATTTTGGCAAAGGACCTGACCTTTGCAAATCAATCAGTGACTAAATAAACTTAAAAAATAAACAAGGAAGCATTATTATGCTTTACACCTTCTCACCAAGTTCTTTTGAAAGTCATGGCTTCAGACCAAAAATAAACCCAACCAAACACACTAACATTTCCCACAGATTGAACTTGTACTTTCCTGTGCTGCAATCATTAGTGAAAGGGGAATTTTGTCCCACTGTGAGTATTCCTTCAGTTTCTACACCACTCTGGACTCGTGTTATACTGTTCTTTTATAATAAATTGTGATAAAGTTGCTGGAACACTTTGACTTCAAACATGATGTAAAAGCAATATCCTCACACTCCTTTTACACACGCAGCAAAACCAAAACCCAAATCAATTAGATTATTTTCATACACAAATACTGCCTGGAACTTTCCATTCCACATACCTTCCTCCAACACATTAAGGCATACCTCCTGGAAAGGGGTTCATCAGGGTTTTAATCTTTTATATGACCCACATTATGCTGTTCCATTGAACACCTCCAAGTTAACATTCTCAAAACCTCTTCAAATATGCTGCCTTTGTACAGGAACCAAACAGTTTGAGTCTTGCAAAGGTGAAATTATCACGAGTACTACACTTTGAGAAAAATCCTTTTTTTCCCTCAACATATGTGTCTCCCTGACTCTTGCTGAAGCGTAGATGAGAGCAGGCAAAATCCACATGCCATTCCCCCCCCTCACAGCACACACAACAGGGCTCTGTCTGAGCTTTCATCCCCTTCCTAGGCTTGCCTCAATTTTTAAACAAACCAACAAAGACTAAGGATAGGCTTGTACTTACAGCAGCAAAGGTGGGTTTTTTTCCAGCTCAAATGCCTGTCCCTCCCTAAAATTATCCCTTCCTCCAAAAGGCACTCAGGTTTTGTGTCCCTAAATTTGGATTAAAGACACCGTAAAACTCCAGTTACTAAGGTGAATCAAATAACTTTGAACTTTTCCACATGGACGTCAGATATGGCCAGCAGCCACAACAATATTTGCACTACTACTGCACTGTCTTTTAGGGATTCCAATATTTTTTATTAAAAATGTATACTACAATTACTATTTTAAGTGTGCTCAGTTTTTACCAGCAGATCTCCAACACACTTCATGAAAGAGAATCACTCTGCCTCACAGTAAGAATGCTGAGAAGTCCGGGGCTGGTGTTAGCCTAGGCACTCCTTAGGGCAGAGCTCCTCTCCACCACCAACTCTGCCATCACTCCTGGTATTAGGCAGCACTTAGTCAATCTGCAAAGACTAACCTGTCCTACTGCTGACTTTAAATTAGCCTGTCAGGAGCTCCATGTTGTGCTTCTGAAATCATAACATGCGCCATAAACATATGCATAGACACCCTTGAAGCCAAGAGTTATATATCTTAAATTTTCTATGACACATAAGGAGAAGACATACAAACATACAAGTTTTTGTGATCAAATTCTGTAATATGGTCCAAAAGACTGGCATGTTAAAATGTTATGTAAACCCAACTTGTTCCTCTCTAGCTAGATGACAGAGGGAGAAAGCTTTTGCTCTCGTCTCATTTCCATTTGTTAACAAAGTAATTTGTTCTTTCTTGGGTGTCCAGTTGTGGAAGTGAAAAAGATCATGCTTTTAAGAAAGGTGAACAAATAAAGGGGTTAGGATAACCCAGAGTACGTTTTTTGGTTATTTACCTCATCCTGAGATGCCCTGCATAACTCTCAACAGCATCTCATGGAAGAGCATGTCTAAATAGGACGTTTTGAGAGATGTGTTGCTGTCAGTGCATACCTCGGGTATACTAATGTAGTTTTCACCACAGCATTCCCCAGTGGAAACAGGGTAGCATTACCCAGGTTTTAATGGCTGGGGACATGTCTAAATTTAAATATGACCTTCACTAAATTAGAGCAACTTGCAACAGACTC